GTCCTTGATCAAATGCCTCTTTCAGTTATTCCAATTATTATTCTTCTTTTTGCATTGAAACAAAATATTAGTAATTTTTTAACATACCCACTTAATTTAAGAGTAACAACTAAATTATCTTAATAAATACCAAGTATACTAATTATTTAAACGACCTTTTACTCTAAGTATACGATTATTTTATATTTATGCTCATAAATGTATTTCATAAATTGATGCTTAAGAATTATACGGGACAGTCTTTTTTAACTTTTACGCCGAAAGCTAAATTTGAGTCGCGTTAGTAACGTGTTGCTCGTGTCACGCAGTCCAGCCTCTACTCTCACAAAGTGGCACATAATCAAATGGCAGCAGATGATAATGAAGTTGGAGTGGGAGGACGTGCAAGGGTATGGCCAGTGGGCGGCACAGATGAAGCCGCGGTTAATGAAGTTCGTGAACAACAGAAAGATGAAGCTTGGCAGTGGCATTTAATTTAATTTAGTTAAGAGAAGTGACAAACACAGGTATCTTTAGGTAAGCTTTCAGCGGGTGCCTGTGCGTCAGCACGGAAATGAGATAACTTTTCAAGAAGCTCATTACGCGGCACCAGATGCACGCTCACAAAAGGCAGCAGCAGCAATTCGCTTGTTGCATTTCTGCGAAGAGTCAAAGCTATTTGAGCTGAGGCGCGTGCAACAACTCGTGGCATGCGCAAACGAAAGCCACTTCAAAGGCAGCCAAGTTAGCAGCCAGGTTGATGGACAGGCGCACTGCCAGACGGCCAGATACACAGGTGGCTGTAACAGATATCTATATGGAAGCCAGGAGTGGCCCGACCCAACTGCCTGTCTACCGCAGGCAGGTGAGCTACACACGATACAGACATTCGTCATGTATGTGACACATGCTCTGGATTAGCGCATAATTGCGTTGCCTGGTTACTTGGCCACTTGATAGAGTGTCGCGTGCGTCCTGTCAACCTGGGGTGAATCGAGCCCAAGAAGATTTGCTTATTAAGTATTTATTAGTTTAATTCAGTTTATTGCCTTGGCATCGATTTTGGAGCTTTAAGCTAAAACTTAAAGCTTATAATGGGGCAATTACTATTTCAGTCTTCTTAAGATAAGATAATACTGAGTGTCCCATGGCCACTTATTGAACTTACTCTTCTTCTCTTTGCTCTCTTCCAAATGTCATTTATCAACACGTGAGTTGCCATCTCTTGATGCTTTAATGGTCTCCGTAATCTCTTTTAGGTTTCTTGTTATGCGTTTTCCTGTCCATAGTCACATTACACTGTTACATACATTCTGGCTGCATTAGCACTACATCCTCTAAATATATATTCAGTAATTATTTATTCCAATGGAATTATAAGTTCTCCATGGTCACGTTTATCAGTCTAACCTTATGCCTTATATTATGGTATAGTGTAGCAGTCTAAGATTCAAATGGCAGAAAATCTCATTACCAAGGGCAAGAAATCTCTCTATCAAATTTCATAATTTCGCCTAGAATTTCGTCTGTCCTTTATACTCAAAGGCATCGAATTCAGCTGTTCGTAATATTAATTAATTCTCAGGTAAGCTTATAGCTTGCATGGTCGCTAAAATTTCATAATCTTCTTTTCTCTTTCTCTATATTCACATCATTTTCGAGTTTTGTTTCTATCTTATTTCATTGTTGAGTAGTAGCTGCCTATGGTCAACTGCAAGAGTATTCCATCTGTTTCTAATACATGTCTAGCATACGTCCTCAGATTCAGATTTCTCTTTGGTCGAGCGTCTGAGAAACAGCTAATTTTAAGGTTCATTTACATCACAGTCCATGGTCTTATAAAACAAAGCAAAATAATCTCTTTGCGATTATTTAGCAAATGTCCAAGCTAATAGAAAATGATCCTTATTAGTTTACCAGCAATTGGAACTTTTGCCTAGAACACATTTGTCCTCCCTAGATACCTTTTATTCTAATTTTCTTATTTACATTCGATATCTGCTGCAACTTGTAAACATTTACAATGCAGAAACACTTAAAACCAAGTCATAAAACACTTAATGAACCCGTATATAAAAGCGAAGGTTATAAATACAACTACTTAAGTTGTTTTCCAGCAGTTTTCCTAGAAAATGCTAGCTTTTAGCTTGCAACTAGCAAGAAGCCTGCAAATTAATTACTTTTACTTAACGACAGCTTAATGTTAATGCCAACTCGGGCACTGATTAAAACGATAATGAAATGCCAAACATCTGAATGATGCTTCGTTTCCAACTGGCAGATGGCACTGCGATAGAATAGCACAAGATTGGCAAGCCGGAGGCCACGTTATTGTTCATTCATCATCTTCTATTTCATCAGGCGTCATTATTGACGCTTTACTCAATATAAGGCCAATCTATATATATACAATACCAATCGCACTTTATGTCCACCCGTCCCTGCCCGCTATCATTATGGAAACATTATTTGTTGCCAAAGCTGAGCCACTGGCAGAGGCAGAAGGCGAAGCGGCTAAGGTTGTTGTCATGGCGGCCACATCTGACCTATTGCTACCCACTATTAACAGCTCCTCTTGCTCAGCACTCCCCTGGTGTACATCAGCTCCAGTGGCGTTTTTCAATTTAGCCATTTCCGTCACACACTCACACACCCAACATGATTAAGCAATCAGAGACGCCTAAAAGGCGGCCACATTTTAACTAAATCAACGCCCGAACGGAAAGCAATGGCTGCGATTTATGTGCACATTATTTGAACTGGCTATGTAATAGAAATGTTTATGAGTTGGCACTAAAAAAAAAAATACAACGGACTTTGTGCCACACGAGGCATTAACCCGCATTATGTGCTCATATCGTACTTGTATACTATGTCGCACTAGAACTCATGCTGACGGTTCTTTAATTGAAGAAAGTGATTTAAGGGCCAGTTAAATTTGAACAGTAGAACTTGTGGCTACGTCATGGCAATAAGATTTCCCTGCTATGTTGATGGGACATTTATTTAAAAACATTCTTAGAGTTAAGAATGAGCGTCTACATATGTTCCTTTAAAAATCTAGTTTAATCTGTATTTGTTATGTAAGTAAAGAGGGACAAGAGTTCTTTACTTGTCAAAGCAAATGTCAACTTTCCCAGGAAATTCCAAGTAAAAGTCTTATTGTCAGTTAAACCCTGTTATATGAATATAAAATAGAACTCGCTGCCCAATATTACCAGGGCTAGACTATGACTAACAGGTAACACGCCGTAATTGGTTTCTCTAACCCTCATAAACATCCTGTTAAGGCTACAATAGCGTTAATTGTTCTGACCTAAAAAGGGTAAAAATTATGGGACAACACCCAATTAATTACGTACCTAAAGTTGTAAGCTATTTCATTAGATTAGTTTTGTGTCAGTCTCTTGGATTCGATTTTCAAATTCACTTTCAGAAACTCAGTTGAATATGGCATTTCGATGTATCGATTGATAACCGACCTGCCACATGTCACCATAAAAGAAGTCTTATCCTATATACAAACATATAACAATCAACCCTATTGCATATCGAGGGCTGACTAAAACCAAAATCATGTAGTCACGCAAGTTGAGTACATTAAAAACAATAAAATTGAGCTACGTTTTGCAGAAAATCATATTCAGCTACACAAAAACATCAAATAAATAAATAACTCGATTGTGCTCGCCCAATTAAAATATATACTGTATACAGCTGAGAGCTGCATTAGGCCAAGGTTTTTTCTAGAAATGGAAGAGAGGGGCAGGCACGCAAAAAGTAAAATATTTTGTATTGTTTTCGATTTTTCGATTTTATGAAACATCCAAGATCCAATCACTACTTAGTACAGACAGACGGACAGAGAAAGAGAGAGCGAGAGAGAGCGACAGCGTGACCAGGAATATATTTGGTTTATTGTGTCTCATGTACACCCAATTTTTCAATTTCTCAATGGCTAGAGAGTACAAAAAATGTGACGCTTTCCTTGGTCTAAATTTTAAAAATGGGAAACAAACAATATAACCTACACGATTCGAGCACGAACTGACGCACGTGTTGGATTTTTGATCCGACTGGGGGAAAGAGTTAGTTGATGGGAGGGGGTGTAGACCAAATCGCAAGTGGAATTTGAACATATTGAACCAAAAGCCGCTTAAGCGAAGTGAAAACAATTTGTCGCGCATATCAATTTAATGCCACAAGCGGCAGAAGGAGCTGAGCAACTGCGACTGGCTTTGAGCCTGAGATTAGTTGACTGCCGCCGCGGCATGCGCGTTATTTTTTGCCCAAATACCGCTGGCGATTGAAGCTCACCTGGCTTAGCATCTGCCCCAAGCATCACACACACACACAGAAGCTCGAATTTCCTGGCAGTAAATTGTGGTCTACGCAACGTGCGATACGAGCTACGCGGTGAACGCCACCCAAGAAACTCACGTTGTACCCGTAGTTCGCTGCAGTCCTCATAAAGCTGGAGCCCTAAGTGCATTAACGTCAGCTTTTTTGGTTGTGTGGCTTTGTGTGCAGCAGCTGCTGTTCAGCTTCAAACAGTTCTCTGTTTGCACAGCATTTGTTGTTCGACATTTAATTAAAAATGAAAAAAATACCAAACACAAGCAAGAAGCAAGTGAGAGTGCTCTAGTCGGGAGTGCCCGACTAGGAGATACCCTGAACCCTGAGCTGCCTTTACAAAGGGTCTAGTTTTCCCATAAAACCACATATATATATATATATATATATATATATATATATATATCTGTTCATTTGCCCCACACTAAGTTTATTTGGGAAATGCGTTCCTGATTAACTTCGGTGCTCTAAAAGGACGTCCGTTCAAAATTTAAATTTCTTGTAGTCTCTGACATAGACGTGTTCGTATATGGACTAACAGACTGACTTGGCTGTTCATTTTTATCAAGAGCACACTGGAAAAGTTTTCTCCCACCTGTTATATACATTTGTACGAAACCATTATACCCCTCTAACAATTTTCAAGGGATTCAGGGCATACAAAAAAAAAAACATATTTGGCGAGTCGAATACGAATTCGTTCCGTGGTTCAATTAGCTCGTGGGTTTTAATAGAGTTTACATAAAAGTTGAAGCGCAGCAAAGATTCGCAGAATAGTTGCAGGCAACAGTGTGTCCAATGCGGGAGCGGTATGATAAAAGCAGCGCGTAACACAAAATCTCTGATAATAAAATTACATATTTAATTTTCGTATTGCTTGAAGTTGTTTAAATAAAAAAAAGGTAATCAAATTAGCAAGTATAACATATAAGAGTGTTCCAGTCGGAGGTGACCGACTAGAAGTTACACAACACGTAGCTTCAGAGTCTACATACGAAATATGAAGTATCTATATTCTTCAGATAAACATGAAAATATCGATTTAGCTTTTCGTTCTAATGAAGAATTTATACACTTTATTTGGTTTCGCGATCTGCATGTCTTCTGATGCAAGTCTTCTTTTCAGAAACGCGCTGACTCGTTTTCTGTCAAGATTTCAGATAGGCCAATATAATAGTCTGTTGCATACATGTTAAAGCGTATGCCCTGACTAGGAGCTAAAGTTGACGTCGAAATCAGGTACAGTGTATTAACGCTTTTTATAGCCAAGGTGGCTGCGAGAAGTGGCCATAACCCGAGTTGTATGTCTGCACCGGAATATCTGCTAGTCCAGCTATAAAATGAAGTGCTTGCTATAAGGCCATTTAAGAGATATTTAAGCTTTCGGGCAAATATGGTTGATGTCTGTTCCATCAGAATTGTAAAGGACTGCATTTGCACAATGCGTTTTCATCCGGATTGTTTTTCATTTGTCATTTCTAATTTTGCTATAAACAAGTTTCAGTTATTTTTACAGCCCGATAAAGAGGAATTCAGGAGAACTGCAAAGAAAAGCGTGGAAAGCCCCAGGCTTAACACAAACTTCTTGGCCAACGCCGGCTTAAAACCTCGAATGAGAAAAAACCCTTGTGAAATCCTGTCAGAGCTTTTCCTGGAAATAAATGCACTTTCGCCCATTTATATTTGATATTGCGCTTCTCAAAGGGATGATTCGAAAGAAAAAAATATAAATAAGAATATTGCAGACGGGTGTGACAGAATTTGTAATACTTCTTTACGGTATGCAAAATTTGCTTCAAACGAGCTGCTGGCGATCTGCTTTAATCGGGATTTCTTTGCTCTCGCTCTTTACTACGGCCCCGTGGGCGAAGCTTATAGGATATAATCCACATTTCAAGTCTCTAGCTTAAGTAGTGCCAAACAGACGGACACGGCGCAACATAAATGCAGGTGAACTAGTAAAAAAAATGAAAAAATCAAAGAAAAGTTCAATATAAAGTGACAACAGTTCTATTCAAGCAAACCTTTCTTTCTACATTTCAATTTGAAAGCGAAACGTTTATCATACAGCCATCGCATTGGAAGCTTTTAATTAGAGACTTTTGAGCGTAGTTGGTACTCACATTATTCTGGTAGCATCACGCTGCCGCACCGACTCGTCCCGATTGAGCACCTCGATTATCATCTTGCGCTCGTTCTCCGACAAATTCTCAAGCACCTGCGAGGTTGCCACCGCCAGTTCGGGGCCCAGCACATCGATGGTTTCGCCCGGTATGCTCTCCGTTGCCGCATCGTTGGTTGAAATGCTGCAGCCCCCGGAGAGCGAGCCAAGGTTATAGCCGCCGGGCACAACGCCAGTCGACATGCTGGTCAGGTTCATGCCCATTTGAAGGCCGCTTACGCCTAAGCCCGACGCCGACGCAGCGCTCCCGTTGGCTGTTGCATTGCCGCTGCTGTATTGCAGCATGTTGTTGCTGTTGGGCTCACCTGCAGCAGCGGCTGCTGCTGCTGCTGCTGCTGTTGCTGCCACACGGTGCTTGTTGTTGGCGTTGTGCGTGGGCGTGGGCGTGGGCGGTAGGCGTGCACTGCGTCCACTTGACATGCCTGTGTGTGCGTGCTTTGAGTTTTTCTTTTGGTGTTTTCTAGTGCGTGGCTGTGTATGAGTGTGTGTGGTCTTCTAGTTTTCTGTTCAGCTGTCAACCGCAAGTTCCCAACACACACACACTCCAATAAGCTGATTAGGCTGATGCCTATTTCTGTGGTAATTGTTGTCGCAGTTGCTGTTGAGGCTCTTGTTGTTGCTCTGACTATTGCTGACGTGCTTTTTAATGTTATTTTCCTAATTACATGTCCCGCAACGCAAAAAGTCACGCATAACTTGTGTTGCCTTTTTTTGGGGTCAACTTAAAATCTGTATAAAAATATGGAAAATATAAAATATGTTTTTTTTATATTATAAATTAAATAGAAATTGTATTCGTCATGCCCAATAAATATATGGATGGTATTTTAGTTGATAGTATTTCGACTTCGATCCGGGTTTGCTTAAATTTTCATTTATTAATTTATTTTTTGTTTATTTTTGTTTATTAAATTTGTTTAAAGTATGACAAACTAACCGTGGGCCAAGCCTTTGGGTCTGTTTTAATTGTCTATAATGGACGGACAGTACTATATTCAATTTATTGATCGGAAATAAGATAACTCCCTATATGTGCTACACATTTCGTGACTGAATTAAAATATTTTCTGTAGAGTTATTATATAGGTCAAATACATAAACAAGTAAACAATAAGCTAATACACACCCACACACGAAACAGGACTATCGATTGCCATTCAACTCGGAAATCAACAATTTTTCACCCAAATTTATTCTATGGTGTTTCCCAATACTTATAAGGAATTTTTAGCTTATGTATAACGTACATTTGGAAAGCTCGGATAAATAAAATCAGATATTCATGACACTTATATATAGACAAGAAATATTTAGACTCGTACGGAGGCCCAATTGGCATGCAAAATTGGTCAAAAATGCACAATTTGGGTCAACTTTGAGATCAATCAATTGCATTTTTCAATCTACTCTACAATCGGACTTAATTCAAACGAGTTAGTCAATGTAGATAAAATATCTAAGATGAATAAAGTCAAGTTTCCTCTTCATATATCAGATTGGTCAATTGGCAACACAAATTGGGCAATGGGATGGATTCAGCTTCAACAAGTAAATCTAAAGCGTAATGCACACAATAATTATTATGCAAGCGGAAGCTCTCATCTGTAATATACAATTTTTTACACTCTTACTGAGAGTACAACTCTATTTCGCTATCTTCCACCAACTTCCCTAGAGCGCTGCCTTTTAACCTGTTGTAAAAAGTTAATTTGTTATTTTGTTGCAAGAAGTGCTGCATACCTTGAGGCGCACTTTCAACTAATCATAAAATCTGTTTATCGAGCCAAAATGCTTAAGTGAACCAAACGATATTGGAATTTCATAGCGTAAGCTTGCAGAGTTCCTGGAAATAGACAACTTCTAACCATGAATATTAGATAAATGCAATCTGTGGCTATTGAGCATTTGGTATGCAGTTTTAAATAGCAAAATATCAAAGCACAACAGGGGAAAAACGCTGCTGGGAAATCGAGCAAACTGCTTGGCGGCTCAAAGGAAATATAGTTCAATACTGGTCATATTGAATATGGCCGCCCACACAAACACCCACACACACGAAACACGCCCACAGCATGTGGCTGCCACACAAACATTGATGTGGTGGTGCCTGGCGTGTGCTTGTGGCAGCAACAGCTAGCATGAAGCTTAGTTAGTCAGTTTCCCTGCTGTGTGTGTGTGTCTGTGTGTGTGTGAGCATTTTTGTGTGTGTATTTCTAATATCTGATAACGCACACGTGTATTTTTCGACTTCCATTAAAAGTGAATTACAATGTCAAACAAAAACCAAATGATAAATTGTGATAAAAATAGGACAACTGTTAAATTATGGTTAAGCATATTTAATTGCAAATATAAGCTGTTGTTAATGCATTCTTAACAAATTAACAAGTATTCAAAAAAAAAGAAAAAGCTTTGCTGCAATCAATAAACCAAACATAAAAGTTCATAAATATGCAAGAGCAATATACACAATATATACACAATGCACTAAAGGCTTTTATTTTAGGTTTCAATAATGAAAACATACTTTAATTTCTACAAATAAAAAAAAAAAAACAAATTAATCAATAAATACATGCAAAAATAATTAAAAAATGGCATGAAAAGTATGAAGTAAGCGCAAAAAATATTTCGCTGCATAATATCTTTAACACCCTGTCCAGCGAATGCTGATCTTTGCAGCATTGGTAAAAGCTATTAATGGATAGTATACAAATATTAATTTCCAAAAATCGCATAAGTACATTTTCATTTGAAATATCTCCCTCTTATAATTACCTGGTAAAAAAAAGATGATGAACAAAATGTAAGCTAAAAGGTGGCGTCTTTTTTCATTAATGCTAATGGCATGGTGGGAAGCCAAAGTAAGTTTCCACGAAGCAACATTTTGTAGACGGTTCACTTAATGATGCTTTCAGCTGGCTCTTGTTAAGCATAGTCTGGTTCAGAAGCTTGTTCGAACTCGAATGCGGTTGGCGGAAAATTTTCCTCTTGGCCACTGGCATTTTGTAATAATTAAAAATTATTTTCTGGGATTTTAGATTCATACAACTTCTAAAGGTCGTTTTTAATATAAAACTAATTATAAAAAAAAATTTCTAAGTAATTCCTAATACCCTCCATTACAAATAATTTGTAGAAAATATTTCCAGAAATCTCAGGTGTATGCAGAATTTTGTAGAAAATTCAGAAAGCAACTTCAATATAGCTAAAAATCGTCTAAAAATAATATTTGACTTGAGCACTCGGGCAGAAACAAGTTAAGTTTCAGTGTAACATACTTTATTGGAAAGCTGCAATGCTTTTCGAAATATCCCAGCAATTCAGTGTTACCTTCAAAGTTTTGTAGAATTAATTAAAATGTTATAAATAAACTGAAAACTACTAGGAATGCAGCTTCCTACACACACAAATGAGCACACACACACACACACAGACACAATTATGCTTTAACAGAAAGGCATTCAGTTGGAAAAAAATTTTAATTTAATGCGATGAATGTGTGGGCACTCGTGAGTGTGTCTGTATGGGTATGGCCATCATGTGCCTTACATAGTTACAGCAACTGAAAGAACAATGACAGCAGCAACAGTCAAAAGACATTTAAATGACAATGACAGTTTAACTGTGGCGACAGAAACGGCAGAAAAGGACCTCACACAATAAGCACGAGCATGGGCAAGGTGGGGGCACGAAAAGGAAATGGAAGCAATACACAAGCAGCGCCTGCATGCAAAGTCCAACAGCTTTATCGACTCGCACACATACGAACACACCCACACACACATGCACACACAAGCTCGCATGATTAAAGAGGAAGTGGCTGTTGCTGTCGCAGCTGAAACGTTACCTAACATTGCGCCCACTACAACAACAAAAAGGTAGATGAACACAACTGAAAATTGAAAATGCCATACAGTTACGCGAAGGAAATGCTGTGTGTACAAGTGTGTGAGAATGTGTGGGTGTGTGTGCGAAACGGCTGACTGACGGCAAAGACATGCGATATCAATTGAAAGGCAACCAAACGCAACGCGCCGCACTCGAGTCTGGATGCTTAGGTAGGCATCCTGCAGAGGCGGTACACAGAAAACAGGACACGGGCTCAGAACGGGACAGGACAGGACAGAGCAGGACACGATAGAGCCAGCTGCCTATTATCCTGGCAACTCGATGATGGATGCGCAGCATCACATGTGCAAAAGCTTCGCCAGCTGCGTGCGGTGCAAATGTAATTAAGCATTTGCGATCTGTCTGCGCGGGGGCAACGAGTCTGTGGCTCATCCCTACTACAGCGTTTGTCTTATTGCAAATATGAAAAATGCACACGCATGCAATAAATGGAGCACAATGATGTGCGTCGGAGTGTGAAGTAACGAGCTGATGTGGCATCCTTATTAATTTACACGTTCTGAAGTTTAAATGGCGCACACGTTACGTATACGCAATGTGCAACAGACAGGCAAACGTTGTAAATAAATGAAAGTACACTCGCCGACTAAAGTGTAGAGCACTTTTTATTCGTCTCACATAACAATTCTCCCTCTCTATGTAGGCAACTAGCCTATTTTTAGAGGCTGACAAGCACAATGGACCACTCAGTGGCAGATGAGTTGCTCGTAATTGAATTAGACTCGAAACACACACAAATCAATTTGAGCTAGCAACTAACAGTCAGACAGCAACAGGAAGGCCAACTAGCATCATCCTGCTCCGCCAGGTTAAAAGTTTCCACTCTGAAATTAAAATGCATATTGCACATACGTCATGTGGTACCACCCTCCCCCTTGCACATATTCCAACTCGACATCAAACCTGGTACGCAGAAGCGGATGTCATGAATAAACAAACGTATGGAAATAGAGCCAACATTTCAGTGTCATTGTCAAATATGTATGTATGTGAGCATCAACATTGTAGAATCTGTGCAAATACGACAGGGTCAATGCCAGAGCCTCGGAAGCTATGTTGACAGCGTTGACAGCAATGCCAAATAAAAAGTGCACAACAAACATAACAAAAAAAAAAAAAAAAAGAAAATAACAAAATAAATGTAAAACCAAATGCAAAACACTTGACAAACACATATTCAATACAGATATCGAAGGAATTGTGTCAAAGGACATGGAAAACACACATTAGGGTTACAATAAATGTCAACCAACTGTTGAATAAGTCAATTACATTTAAATGAAAATAAAGTTACTTTTAAGGTTATTTTACGGCATATTTTGCGTTTATATATTAAGTATATCTTTACAAAAGCTCGCGTGGCAAGAGTAATCAATGATGTCTTAAATCTAACCACAAACTAGTCTTTTAGGACTTTTCCATCAGTTCTATAGTTCTTATTTATGCTACATTTTTTTACTGGCCTGATTGAGTCAATGTTGGTTATAGTGGCCAGCAAAATAAAAAAA